AAAACATGCTTAAGATTAAACCTTTTTCTTTAAAACAAAACATATTATATATTCAAACATTTACATTTGCAATAGAAATTAAAAAAATAATCTATTGATTTATTCAAAAAGAAAACAATAAAATATCGAAAAAATAAAGTATTCAATAATAAATATGTTTTTGTTAAATAACATTATTTCTAGTACAAAAGAAACTGCTGATAGTTTGATGTCATTTTTAGTATCTATATTTACATAATCTATTGTCAGTTGGTCTATTTAATTATAGAAAATAATGATTTTTTTTTTTTTCTATACTATTTTTATTTAATAATTGTTGAATTAGAGATTCATCATGATATGTGATCAGTTTACAAAATCTATATATGTCTAAATAAAGTTGAAATATTTTTATTATTATTTAGTATTCTTATTTATTCTAAGATAATTATAAAGAAAACAAAACAAAAACAAAAACATTTTTCATGTTTTTTTTTTTTTTTTTTTTTTTATAAAGAAAGTCTAAAGTACAAGTGAAAATTGTTTGTTCTTCCAGTTTAAGAACAATAACTGAACTATAAAATATCATTTAGATGAATAAGATGAAAAGTATGCAAGAGAAAATTGATCTTGTTTAATATGACGGTAGTAATTACGTCGTTAGAAAGTCTCCTGATTTTTATCAAAAAAATCTAATAGAAGTAAATTAATTCATTTCAATGTTTTAATGTGGAATGAATCGAATAATTATTTGATGTATTTTATTTTTTTTAATTTGTTTACACTTCAAATAATTGATTAAAATTTTAAATTTCTACATGAATTTCTTTTAAATAACTTGATAAAAATAATTTTATATTATTATTCATCATCATCAAATTATTTTCAAGAAAAAAATAAAAAAAATTCTTTCGACATTAATTTTACTATTCAAAAATTTTATAAAGAATTTTTCAAATCTCATAAATAGACGAAGACGTAATTAATCAAATAATATGAATAAAAGTCTATGATAATGATGTGAATCTTTTTTTTGTTTTTCTACTAAAGAGAACACATTGTTAATTCTGAGAAATGAGATCTGATGTGCTCGCATTTCATTATATATAATATAAAGAAAAATTTTCATATGACACAAAAACCAAGAAGATGAAAGGAATAAATGTATAAATTTTGCATTTGATTCAAGAGTTGTAGTTTCATAAAGAAAAAAACCCATCAATTTAACATTTTCTTCTATTGAAATTTTTCTTTTAAAACAAACTAAAGAAATTTATTTTTCTGCCAAATATTTCTATGAAATATGATTACTTAATTATTGACATATATGATGTTTTATATAATTGACATAAAAATGTCATGTTTAATAAATAAATAACCTTGAAAATAAAATCAATTTAATAATGATTTACTTTTTAGGTTTAAGTGTTGCTGTTGATGTCTTTACTCTTGTTTGTATAAGTGTGGAACGTTACATAGCAATATGTCGTCCATTATTAATAATAAAACTTCAATCTATTCGATTTGCTAATTTTCTAAATGGTCTTATTCTATTTTCAATATGGACATTAGGTCTTTTAACGGCTTTACCAAATATTTCAATATATAATTTATGTTCTTTACCTCAACTTGGAAGATTTAAATGTGAGAAAGTAAATCCAAAATATTTTGATGAAAAAGTTTATATGGTTGCTTTAGATGGTATAAAAATATTTATATTTAGAAAATTAATAAAAAATAATTTTTTTCTTTTAGTTTTTTATTTTTTGATTCCAATGCTTGTCATGCTTATTCTTTATACATTGATCATTTGTAAAATATATAAAAATAATACTGCAACGAAAATGAGATTTTCACCGAGTAAATTTATTTATTTTTTTTTTTATAAAAATAAAAATATTGGTTTGTTTTTGTTATAGATAATCATTCAAGCAAAACTTTTTCAAATTCATCAAATTCTTCAACTCTTCGACGTAATAGTTATCGTCAACGTCAATGTATCTCATTAGAATATCATCAATATAATTCAAATGGACAAAAACAAAATAATGGTTCATCAAATTTTGAAATTCTTGGACCTATACCATTTCAACAAAGTAGTGCAAAATCAAAATCTCCTTTAAATGATAATGATTATCAAATAGCATCTTCATGGCCAAAAAATGTTAATCGTAATCCAAAAAGTCCTTCATCAAATTTATTTTCTCATCAAATATCTAAAGAAAATAATCGTTCAAAAAATTTTTATAATTCAAATTATTCTTGTAGAAGTAGTAATAAAAGTCGTGGTTCATCAACAAGTCAAGGAGTTTATCATATGGATCGTCATCGTCGTAAAGCACTTAAACTTTTAATTGTTATTATTGTTGAATTTTTTATTTGTTGGACACCATTATTTATTTATCATACTTTTGGAACATTTGATAAAAAATTTTATCGTTCAATGCCAAGTATATTTGTTGATTTAATTCTTCTTTTTTCATTTGCATCATTATTATGTAATCCATTTACTTATTATTTTATGTCAAAAAGATATCGAATGGTTTTATATGTTTATTTATCATATTGTTGTTGTTGTTGTTATAAAGTTAAACCAAAATTTAACAAAAAAGATCAAGAAGCACGACATATTGTTGAAGCATTACGTTTACATCAACAACAAAATATTCTTGAATACAAACAAAAAATAAATAAACAAAAATCATCACCACCTAATTATATTATATATCAAACTAAATTCAGATCAAATACAGTACAATAAATTTTTTCATCTATACTTTTATTCTCTTTATTTTTTTTTATTCCAATTTTTAAAATCAAAAATATGAAAAACACTTCTAATATTCGAATATATTTTTATTGTTGTTGTTTCTTTTTTTTCAAGTAAATTTGATGATTGAATTAAAGTATTTTTTATTATTAAGAGTACATGATGATTTTTATTCTGAGCATTGATCCTCAGACTATAAGAACAACTAGTTTTTTTTCAAATTGTGAACAATAATATATTCTATGACATTATATTTGCTAACTTTTGTGAGAACATTTCTTCTGAAGAATAAGAATAAAAAATATCATTTTCGACTTTTCTTCGGATCAAAAGTTTTCTTCATTAGAAATAAAATCTTGTCTATTAGATTGTTTTTCTTCTATAGGTGCATACGTGCGAGAAATATTGAATAAAAGATATTAATTATTAAATATGGAAATTAATAAACACGGCACAAACATATACAGTCACATTAAGGTAATGTCAATGATTTTCTTAGTTTTTTTTTATTTACTTTAATAGAAGAAACTTAAATAAAATAAAAGAAAGAAAAAAATGAAATAAATAGTTTAGATATCCTTGTTTTTTCTTTTATATTAGATCATTTTCTATCTGTATGTAACGATTCGCTCTAATAATAACAGCAGTTAGCTTTTAATAATTATTCTAGAGAAATAATATTTTTTGATTAATCTTTATTTTCAAAACAATGTTTTTTGACCACATATTATCTTGAAAAACATTTTTTACCAATAAAAAGATCACAAGAACAAACGTTGTTCCATTCGCTTTATGAATAAGAAATGACTTTTTTAAAATGAATTTCTTATTTACCAAGCAAAAGACAATTTACATGATTGAAATAAGAAAGGTGTTAACTCTTTTTTCATTGTTTAAGAAAAGTTTTGATCAATGTCTATATGAGCGAATGAATTTCTAATCAATTCAGTTGGATACACACAAACATTCATCTTATTCTAATTCATCTTAACGATCAATTTACGTCGATGAAATGTAGAATAATCATAGATTTACATAAATTTCACTAGGCAAACATAAATATTTCATGTATCATCCATTATATTCCTTAATAGGAAAAAACAAAAATGTTAAAGAAATATTAATTGAATATTTATCGTTCTATCTATCGTAATCAATTAAAATAAGAAATTTTGTTGTAAACTAATATTTAAATAAAAGGTCATTTAGAAGTTTACTAAAAAACTCCACAACATCTATACGATTGAGGACGAATAAATCAATGATGAAAAGTCTATTTAATGTTTATATTTATGAAACAATGCTTGTTTAGTTCATTTATCAATATAAATATAAATGCTAGTTTATTAAGATATATGTAATAGAACTAAACAAGTAAATGAAAGTTTTAAACATAAATATACATAATATAAGACGAGTCCATTCAGTTTATTTCAGAATATCGATCAATCAAATAACGAATTTTTTCCGCTGAAGCACTCATATGTTTGCCTACTGTTCCAAATGGGATTTTGTGATTTGCATTCAAATGAGATCTACAAATTCAATAAGATATGAATAGACAAAAGAAGATACAAAAGAATAAGTTATTGAGTAGGATCAAGCATTTTTGTTAATTCAAATTGTTCAACTAATGACGCACTTATATTTGGTGTAATTGATTTTTCAAATTTTAGTAAATCATTTTCTTCTTCACTAAAATTGACAAAATATATTTTTTTAAATTAATTCTAATGCTTAAAATTTTGAATATGTTCTATTAAATTTGACAAAATTTTTTCAAATATCGAAGGATAATGTGAATCAACTACGGATGAAGCTTCAAGTACATGCAACATAGTTTTTTTTACTTATTTTTATAACGAGAAAATAATTGAAAAACATATTATCATCATAATAAAGAAAATAAAGAAAATAATTGTTGATGATTGTCACGATCTTGATCCGCTATATTTTTTCCTTCGGCACCTAAATATGTGTCAAAAGTTGGATAAAGAAAAAGTTCTTCAGCAAGAGTATATCAAGGAATTTTCTATTGCAAATAATCAACCGAGCGTTCTCGTTCAACCATATTACCTTTTGCTGATAGATATTTCTATTATGATCAAAGAACATTTGTTCATATTATGAATAAATAATTAACAAATTAAACCTAATAAGCATTTTAAACATCAGCATGATCTTTTAATATTGTAACATTTATTGATGATTTTAAATTTATTTATTGCTCTTAATTATTCAGAAAATACAAAAAAAAAAACAAAAAAGAAAAAATATTCTAAATTTTCTTTGAGATAGATCGATAGTTAATATGAGAATATTGTTTATTGATACAGGATATATGGAAAGGAAAATATGACCTTGATAATACAAGCACGTTGTTCGTGCACGTGTACAATGAATGAATATATACGCAATAGTAACAAATCTCGTTATTATGATCTTTGAGTATAATAAAAGTTAAAAAATAAAGAAAATAATTTTTTTTTTCAATAAAAAGAAATTTTAAAAATATTTTAAAAACATTTCTTATCTATACTATTATATTAAACAAACAAAGAAGATTATAAATTAAAATCCTTATTGTATAATAAGAAGTCTATTTTGAAATTAAATTATATATTTCTCAATAGAAAAAATTTTTAAAAATTTAAAAATTTATATTTTTATTATAATTGTTACTATCGTTTGATCAATTGAAACGATATTTTAAAGTTTTTAATAGAATAGTTATTACGATTCAAATTCAATTACACTGAATATTTGTCATTAAGAGACAAATAAATTCTTTCAATTATATTTTTTTTTTCATTACAGCGAACACATTTTCTTATCCGTCATTCATTTTAATAATCTTATTCTATAAAATACGAATTAAAGTATAACATAAAAAAAGTAATGTACTTAACATTATTTAACATGATGATTTCGTAAAATCGTTGTCAATATAAATAATAAGATAATATGTTATATTCGCCACTATTTTAATTGTTTAATATAAAACCAAAAAAATATTTATATTCAAATAATAGTTTATATTCTTTAATATCAATTTCTTGTCCAATTATAACTATTTATTAATGCTTCTCGTTGATAAATGAGTTTTTTCTTCTTTATATACATAATCTTCTTGTTATGATACCATGGAAATATACGATGACATACGTAAGATTGAAAAGGTACCATTATCAATATTTAAAGATTATTGCTATCATCATTAAATAGATAGTTGACAATAATAGCAATAATAAAGATAAAAACGAAGCATATAATATATCAACAATGTCACTGTTATATATGAAAAAGCTTGTTATCACAGTCTCTTTAGATCTTTCATGTAGAACTCAAATGTGCTCTTTAACCTCGTTATACTAATAGAAAATATGTCAAGTAAGAAATGTCTTTTAAACTAATGTTGTTTTCGAAGATAATCAATTGCTAGGGAAACTATTCGTCCTATTCATTTCTACATTTCGAACAGAAATTTTTTCTATTTTTTCCTGTCACTCTATTTTTTGTTTGTCTTGTTGCTATTTGACTGTTTTCTTTTTCTCTCCTATTCCGATTTTCTTAATTTAATACTCTTATTATTCTAACCATTGATGTAACTGACAAATAACCCTTTTGTACATATCCATTATATTCTACAGCAGATCCAAACGCATTAGTATATATATATATATATATACGTATATCGGTAGGTTTACAAACAATGATATCGATTATTTCTCAAAGTTTTAACTTGATCAAATCATACTTTTTATGATGACTGTGGCGAATAAATGCATGACTACCCAGTATCTTTGACATCTTCAATATAAATTTTTATTTGCACAAAAATTAAAAATTAATCTATTTAGAACATTCGCAAACTTATTTCAATCATTGAAATATCGAGGAAGATCCTAAAATATTTTATACAGGATAGACCAAAATTAATAGAACAAATAAGTTTTCCGATTTTTCTTTGTAGATATTCAGTTAAATCTCATATTTTTACTACATATACGAGATAATATAATCCAAAGATACAGGATATGATCAGAATATTGGTGTAGGAATTTGTTGAAAAGCCTATAAATACAAGACGGTCAAAAGTAAGAAAACAAGTGTGACTTCTATCAAAACGTTTATTAAAATAATTGAACTAGAAAATAACTCACACAATAATGCATATTTTTAAAGTATTTTTAACAGCAAGCTTTTCACAAAATTTGCTCAATTCGTTCACTCCGTAAGTCTTTGCAAAGTTGCAATTACTCATATACTGTTGTCACACGTTCATCGACATAATTTGACTATCAAGCTTTATCTTATATATACGCTTTTGAACAAGTTCCTGCATCTAGATACTGATCATATGCTACATCTTTTAATGATATCATCTAGTATATAGGGTAAAAATATGAGATCTAACTGAATATTTACAAAGAAAAAATCGAAAAACTTATTTGTCCTATTGCTTTTGACCGATCCTGTGATTGTCTAAGATAGTTGAAGTCTTATCATTAAAATGGTGTTCAGCTCCTTTTTCCATTGGTAAGGAACTCTTGGAAAAGAGTTTGATGCCTACCATTCTTTGTAGTTAAATTGTGTACAAGAGGAAGGGGGAGAGCCAGAAAATCTTGACTTGAAACTTCTACTCAATATTATCTTCGAAAATATATGTGAATTCGACAAAACAATTACGGAAATATAAATTATAAGGTAAGACCACAAATAAACGATAATTTTCTTTCATTTGATCTTCAAAGTAAAATATAAACAAAACTGTTATTTAAAAATTTTCGTTTCTCTTTTTGACGAAATTATTTAACTTTTGTCAAGTTTCAATGATTGTATTAATTTTTTTCGGAAGATTTTCATATTTATCATTGTCATACTTCTATTTTCTTGCTGTAATAGACTTATTATGCTTTGCTATTAGTTTCTTGTATAATTATATTTCTGTATTTCTTCATTTTTATTGACAGTTGTAAAGATAAAAAATC